TGCACACATATGACGTTAAATTGTTTACAATTTATAATTTTTTAGGCTTGTGTACAAAAAAATATACAACAAATGAGAATTTAATGGTTTTGATTGGTTTTCACTGCCGTCACCTCATTTTGGCACTCCACTTCTGCCAACCGTGCCAACTCACTATTCAAATGCAGGCAGAGGCAGCATTTTTAACTGGATAGGTACATGAAATAGTTTGTGTGTAGGCCTAAAAATAAATTTGTTATTAATAATATTTAATAACTGCTAAACAAGTCCAGAAAAGATTAAACTGTATTTTATTCTTGCATTATTCTTTGAAAAATTGCTAAAATCAATTCTAACGATAATATCGTAGTAAAATATCGATATCCCGATAATATCGGAAGTCTAATATCGATATAACATGTTACATAAACGAATGAGGGCTCATTTATTTCGTCTTACTTAGACGAATAAAAAAACATTTTAATCACAGTTCTACAACGTACCGTTGCCGACATAACGCAGTTCTCGCTTAACTATAAATATTATTGCAGAGTGTTATGTCTGCAACAGTACGTCAGAACTGTGATTAAAATGGGTTTTTATTCATGTAAGACGAAATAAATCTACATCAGCCCCCATTCGTTTATGCATCTAATGTATCAATTGATTGCAAATTAGTTTAGTGTGACAGATTTGTGTGGAATCCTCGCAGTCTAGGGTGGACCGACACGAGGTTTGGTTTTGTTCGACTTGGATATTCTCTTCCTGCCAAAGCGAACTTGTACTCATGTCATAACCTAAATTAATTTTGTAATTCCTATTATCGGTAGTTGTAGTTTATTTGTGATTTTAAATCTTTTGCACTCATTGTTTTCTCAATAAAATTAAGCAAACAAAAGTTGCAAAATTGTCTCTTATCTTAATGTTTTTTTCAGTTTGCTTAATTGCGTTGTTATTTCTTACAGTTGTTTACCACATTCTTTTCTTTATTGCCATTTGTGGTTGATTGTACCATTAATTCATGGTTTATTCCTGTTAATTCTCGCTATTCATTGCTGTTGCCTTTGTGTATGGATTGTTAAATTTGTTATCACCTATTTTAAGTCAAATAAATAAAATACATTTGAACCTCACACTACAATAGAGATAATCAATGGTGTTATTTGTTCTCTGTTCCCTTGTCTGTGGTGTTGGTTGGACTGTTGGGCTAATGAAGCTTTTGCTTTAGCTTTGTGGTGGGATACCAGCTGAGTGTGGGATGTGTTTGGTTTTTTCCGAAGCCGAATTGTCAAATCCTGTTTGTTCTGCTATGTTATGTTTATAGTTTATTAATCCTTACCACCTTTTAGTGTTGGGATATCGAAAGAAAATATCGATATTTATATCGACGATAATATCGGAGCCTCAATATCGATATTCCGATAATATCGGACCAAAAATATCGATATATCGGGAAAATATCGTTGAAAATTAATGGAATTGGAATGCTATCGGCTATCGCAATGCCTCCCTTTAACAGGAAATTACCTTAACAAACAATTGAAAAAAAATGCGTTTGAAGATATTAAAACAAAGGAATATATACAGACGGTTTGGTAAAAAAAATATCGATATGTCATCAAAAGAAATCATTGATATAAAAATGTCCCTTTAGAAGGAAAGTACCTTTGTTAATACTGAACAATATTAGCCTATCCTTATCGAAGTTGTCAGCTGATATGTTTTAATTTGTTATAATCAATATATCGGATAGAAAAATAAAATATCGATATTCAAAAAGAAATAATCGATAATAATGAATGTTCCCTTTAACAGGAAAGTACCACCATGAACAGTAGTTAGCTGCACACATATGACGTTAAATTGTTTACAATTTATAATTTTTTAGGCTTGTGTACAAAAAAATATACAACAAATGAGAATTTATTGGTTTTGATTGGTTTTCACTGCCGTCACCTCATTTTGGCACTCCACTTCTGCCAACCGTGCCAACTCACTATTCAAATGCAGGCAGAGGCAGCATTTTTAACTGGATAGGTACATGAAATAGTTTGTGTGTAGGCCTAAAAATAAATTTGTTATTAATAATATTTAATAACTGCTAAACAAGTTCAGAAAAGATTAAACTGTATTTTATTCTTGCATTATTCTTTGAAAAATTGCTAAAATCAATTCTAACGATAATATCGTAGTAAAATATCGATATCCCGATAATATCGGAAGTCTAATATCGATATAACATGTTACATAAACGAATGAGGGCTCATTTATTTCGTCTTACTTAGACGAATAAAAAAACATTTTAATCACAGTTCTACAACGTACCGTTGCCGACATAACGCAGTTCTCGCTTAACTATAAATATTATTGCAGAGTGTTATGTCTGCAACAGTACGTCAGAACTGTGATTAAAATGGGTTTTTATTCATGTAAGACGAAATAAATCTACATCAGCCCCCATTCGTTTATGCATCTAATGTATCAATTGATTGCAAATTAGTTTAGTGTGACAGATTTGTGTGGAATCCTCGCAGTCTAGGGTGGACCGACACGAGGTTTGGTTTTGTTCGACTTGGATATTCTCTTCCTGCCAAAGCGAACTTGTACTCATGTCATAACCTAAATTAATTTTGTAATTCCTATTATCGGTAGTTGTAGTTTATTTGTGATTTTAAATCTTTTGCACTCATTGTTTTCTCAATAAAATTAAGCAAACAAAAGTTGCAAAATTGTCTCTTATCTTAATGTTTTTTTCAGTTTGCTTAATTGCGTTGTTATTTCTTACAGTTGTTTACCACATTCTTTTCTTTATTGCCATTTGTGGTTGATTGTACCATTAATTCATGGTTTATTCCTGTTAATTCTCGCTATTCATTGCTGTTGCCTTTGTGTATGGATTGTTAAATTTGTTATCACCTATTTTAAGTCAAATAAATAAAATACATTTGAACCTCACACTACAATAGAGATAATCAATGGTGTTATTTGTTCTCTGTTCCCTTGTCTGTGGTGTTGGTTGGACTGTTGGGCTAATGAAGCTTTTGCTTTAGCTTTGTGGTGGGATACCAGCTGAGTGTGGGATGTGTTTGGTTTTTTCCGAAGCCGAATTGTCAAATCCTGTTTGTTCTGCTATGTTATGTTTATAGTTTATTAATCCTTACCACCTTTTAGTGTTGGGATATCGAAAGAAAATATCGATATTTATATCGACGATAATATCGGAGCCTCAATATCGATATTCCGATAATATCGGACCAAAAATATCGATATATCGGGAAAATATCGTTGAAAATTAATGGAATTGGAATGCTATCGGCTATCGCAATGCCTCCCTTTAACAGGAAATTACCTTAACAAACAATTGAAAAAAAATGCGTTTGAAGATATTAAAACAAAGGAATATATACAGACGGTTTGGTAAAAAAAATATCGATATGTCATCAAAAGAAATCATTGATATAAAAATGTCCCTTTAGAAGGAAAGTACCTTTGTTAATACTGAACAATATTAGCCTATCCTTATCGAAGTTGTCAGCTGATATGTTTTAATTTGTTATAATCAATATATCGGATAGAAAAATAAAATATCGATATTCAAAAAGAAATAATCGATAATAATGAATGTTCCCTTTAACAGGAAAGTACCACCATGAACAGTAGTTAGCTGCACACATATGACGTTAAATTGTTTACAATTTATAATTTTTTAGGCTTGTGTACAAAAAAATATACAACAAATGAGAATTTAATGGTTTTGATTGGTTTTCACTGCCGTCACCTCATTTTGGCACTCCACTTCTGCCAACCGTGCCAACTCACTATTCAAATGCAGGCAGAGGCAGCATTTTTAACTGGATAGGTACATGAAATAGTTTGTGTGTAGGCCTAAAAATAAATTTGTTATTAATAATATTTAATAACTGCTAAACAAGTCCAGAAAAGATTAAACTGTATTTTATTCTTGCATTATTCTTTGAAAAATTGCTAAAATCAATTCTAACGATAATATCGTAGTAAAATATCGATATCCCGATAATATCGGAAGTCTAATATCGATATAACATGTTACATAAACGAATGAGGGCTCATTTATTTCGTCTTACTTAGACGAATAAAAACACATTTTAATCACAGTTCTACAACGTACCGTTGCCGACATAACGCAGTTCTCGCTTAACTATAAATATTATTGCAGAGTGTTATGTCTGCAACAGTACGTCAGAACTGTGATTAAAATGGGTTTTTATTCATGTAAGACGAAATAAATCTACATCAGCCCCCATTCGTTTATGCATCTAATGTATCAATTGATTGCAAATTAGTTTAGTGTGACAGATTTGTGTGGAATCCTCGCAGTCTAGGGTGGACCGACACGAGGTTTGGTTTTGTTCGACTTGGATATTCTCTTCCTGCCAAAGCGAACTTGTACTCATGTCATAACCTAAATTAATTTTGTAATTCCTATTATCGGTAGTTGTAGTTTATTTGTGATTTTAAATCTTTTGCACTCATTGTTTTCTCAATAAAATTAAGCAAACAAAAGTTGCAAAATTGTCTCTTATCTTAATGTTTTTTTCAGTTTGCTTAATTGCGTTGTTATTTCTTACAGTTGTTTACCACATTCTTTTCTTTATTGCCATTTGTGGTTGATTGTACCATTAATTCATGGTTTATTCCTGTTAATTCTCGCTATTCATTGCTGTTGCCTTTGTGTATGGATTGTTAAATTTGTTATCACCTATTTTAAGTCAAATAAATAAAATACATTTGAACCTCACACTACAATAGAGATAATCAATGGTGTTATTTGTTCTCTGTTCCCTTGTCTGTGGTGTTGGTTGGACTGTTGGGCTAATGAAGCTTTTGCTTTAGCTTTGTGGTGGGATACCAGCTGAGTGTGGGATGTGTTTGGTTTTTTCCGAAGCCGAATTGTCAAATCCTGTTTGTTCTGCTATGTTATGTTTATAGTTTATTAATCCTTACCACCTTCACCTTGTTTATGTTATGTAGCTTATAGCATTCAGCATTACGTTACGACAGGCTGGCTAAGCGTATTTGGTTACTTTGATTTTGTCGTTATGTGATATTACAAACTCCAAGTGAAAACTAACATAAACAGTTTCACTGTTATATTTTATTAGTAATTAATTACCCCACTGTGCTATGTGCGGTTAATCTGATCAGTGCACTGAACTACTGAAGCACAGAACAGGCATTTCATCTGGATTCACTCTTCAATGTGGAAATTTGGTTTATGCCTACTATTATAGGCCTAGTTAAGTGCCTGACAGTTGACGTGAAAGTAAAATAAAAAATAGTATTAGTATCCTCTTATTAGGCCATCTTCCTTTTAAGTTTCGATGAAACAACCAATAAGGTTTGACCAAGAGATCGATGGGTTTGACCTAGACCCTAGTTTTAAGTTCCAAGAATGTCATCAATGCTTTGATGTTAAATCTACATAAGCCTAGGACTAACTGAAGTGATTTTGATTTTGGGTTCTGGCTTCTAAACTAAAAATATTAAAACATGTTGGTTTAATTTAGCAAAACAATCTTTGAAGAAATGGCCACTCGATCTCTAACAGATGTTTTTGTGTTAATGCGTAACAATGCATCACAAAACAGGCACATATATTCTGAACAGGTAAGTTAAGACGTCCTAATATGGCATAGCATGTAGAAGTGTTATTGTTCGTCTAAGCTAGGCCTATTTGAGTTTTTAGAAATAGGCCTAGGCTATTGATGAAACTTTAATCAGCGACCATTGGTTAGGTTAACCTTACCTAACTAACCAATCGATATATCGATCGATGTACCCCTAACAAGTATTGGGTTAGCCTATATAATTTGTCAAATTTATGTTTTAACCATTCAGTTATTTATTTATTTATTTATTTGTTTACGGTATAACACCATTTTTACAGGGTTGACATAACAGGGTTGACATGCTGATCAGATACAATATTGAAAGATCCTAATTAAATTTTCTTCCCTTCTGCCTTTTCTCATGCTCTTTTACTTTTTTTTTGTTTTTTTGCAGGATTTATTAAAAGGCAGATAGGGACTAACATCACATGCTAATGGAAAAAAAAAACTGGTTGAATAGCAAGCATAACAATGGATAGAATTAGGTAACAATAACAATCGATAAATACTACAAGAAAACATGCGACTAGATTCCATGTCAAAGTAAGGAAAAAAACACCAGAGCTTAACTTAATTGAAGTAACTTAAAGGCTACCTACTTAGCTAATGTCAGATCAACTAAAGTTAGGCTACGGTACTTTATTTATAGGCCACTTAGGCCATAACACGCACTTAGAATAAAACAAACAAAGTTTATTTATTTATTTCCCAATGACATAACTTAGCTACTTTACAGTGAAAGTACATTTAAGTTACAACTTGAAATTAACAGAAATAAATAGTAAATGAGTTGTAACAAATTGTGAACAGTAACAAATAGTGAACAGTAACAAATAAATATTAACAATATAAATTTTCAAATTATAAATAGAAAGTTATAGATGGCAACAAGTAGGCTATGAAGTATGAAGTGCATGAGTGAGATAAAAAAATACAGTGTGAAATTGTTGTACAATATAAGAACATAGGATGGATGCAGGAACAAACATAAATAATACAGTTCTACAAATTTTGCCTACATCAGAGACAATATAAATAAATATTGGTGAAAAATCTACAGCAATTAGGTGGTAGGCCTAGTTTATGCTCGTGCAGTTTCAAGGCGTGAAGATTTTCTTGGCACATCTTCTGATGTGAGAGATTGTGTAACAGAACAGATCAGAGTCTGGAGCAACACAGTTTCTAATCCAGACAAGACGAGCTAGTGGGCTGTGGAAGTCGAAAGACTTGGTGTAGTGTCTTAAGACGAAGAGTTCCCTATTCCTAGTGCCAGACGGTACTTTAAAATTTTTAACAGGATGTACAGACAAAATAGACGACCTCTGATTATTTTGAGCAGAAGCATGAGGTCGGCCATGTCTCGGTGCACCGCAAGAAATACAAGCTGGAGCCCAGAAGAAAGAAAATCAACAGGGACATCCACGTTGTTGAAGCATTGCGAACTCCCACCAAGCGGATGAAACACCTCTGCAATGCTTCAAGTCTGTCTTTTTCGCCAATGGTATAGGGTGACCACACGGGGGGGGGGGGGGGGGGGCGTACATCCACCATAGCACAGTATAGCGTTCTTAGAGCATCAGGGTTGTTAACCCCTCGGGTAGATCTTGAGATGAAGCCCAAAATCTTGTTGCCCTGTTTACAAATCCCATCAACGTGTTCGAAGAAGCCCATATCGTGACGGAAGAAAACACCCAGATCCTTTATTCCCGTAATTCTTGGGTTATCAACATGTGAGATTGAGTAAGATGTCAAAAGGGGATGCTTGCTACGATGAAAGGACACACTTGAACACTTTTCAGGGTTAATCTGCATGTTGTTACTGATGCACCATTGACTGATTCCATCCAGGCTGTTTTGCACCAGTCTTCCACTGAGGAAATCTCGGGGAAGGTTTTTAGATTGTCGGCAAACAGTAGAGCATTGGTCACTGTTAGAACAGTTAGTCACAGTTAGGTTTAGGTCACAGTTAGAATGATAACTAATAAACCCATACTGTATAGGTAGGCCTAAAACAAGCACATCTTTTACAGACATGTTAATATGAAAAACATAAAGCTCTTTTATCTCAACGTTATCTATAGATCTAACCAGTAAATGTTTTGTTTTGATTAGCCTATTTTTATTTTTTTGTATTTAATCCATTTCAGGAATAAGTAGGCCTAATTCCATACTGTAGGCTAATAAGGATTAATTTTAACTCCTCAACTTCCTTTTTAGCAAATGACAGACCGCATGGCCTTAGTGGGAGATTTAGAGTGTGGTATTGAGTTGCGACGAAGTGAAGCATCACGATTGCCTCCAATATGGGCGGATAACCTGGAGGAGAGTCAGTATGCGATGACTAGGCTACGCAACAAACTCAAGGAGCTTGAGGCACTTTACGACAAACATGTGCTGAGGCCAACATTAGATGACTCAACTGATGAAGAGAGACAGATTGAAATACTCACGCAGGAAATTTCTAGGGTGAGTGATTATTTTTTATCTTCAATCTCATTTATTTGTCCTTAACTTTAAAAATTTAAGATAAAGGTGACAGTTAGTTTGGTTAAATGTGTTTTTTTAAATACTTAACAGCATTGTTTCCCAAGCTGTGATACACTAACCACTAGTCGTAGGCAAAGGCACAGAAAACGTACTACTATAACCCAGAATGCCAACCGCATGGTAAACAGCATTAAGCGGTTTGAAAGAGCTTTGCCTGTCAATCCGTAGGCAGCGCCACCAGCGTTGCTATGCTATTGCATGGCAACGCTGGTGGCGCTGCCTACGGATTGACAGGCAAAGCTCTTTCAAACCGCTTAATGCTGTTTACCATGCGGTTGGCATTCTGGGTTATAGTAGTACGTTTTCTGTGGCAAAGGCCACTGTGGTGGTGCGTAATGTTTTAAGAAGAGTATTTGGTCATGATTTGGGCATTCAGCTTGCTCCATTTTCAAATTCTCGAGCAGATCTCCAGTTTTTTCGCGTTCTTAAGCACGTTGCCCTTAAAATTGAGCAAGTCAATCTCACTCTAATCCAATTAACTACAAGACTGTAAGGCTTAGGATACACAATTTTTCTGACAACCTTTCAGTTCTAGTGCTCTTATCAATGTTTGAAAATTGTTGCCTAGGATTCCGCAGACTGATGTTATCAGGGGAGTGAAAGAGGCATTTTGGCACTCACATGCTGACATATACTTTCTTTTCTTATCTTCTTCTGCATATTTGGAGACATGAGGGAGCATCAAATAAATTAAATTAAAAAAAAAATTACTTATTCCATGCAAAGTTATGGCCATAAGGCTCTTCCTTTCACTGAAGAAAGAGACAACATACAACTATTATTAGAGATCATTAAGCCTATAAAGCAGTGTCTCCCAAACTTTTTAGACTTGTTATGTAACTTACTATATGGTGACATTTTAATGATTAAGAATGGCCTAGTTTTTTGGTGTTTTTAAAAAGTAATATAAATATTTAAACTCTGCTCCTGAAAAATGTACACCGGACTTCCCTACCTGGCAACCATAAGATGAACCTACATTGTAAATAAAACTTATTTTTATGAAACAGATGTTTGCTGCCACTCATCGGCTGGTGCAGCAGATTCACCATCACAGTTCAGACGCCACGACCAACATGGAGCTCAAGCTGAGTAACAACGTAACTGCCTCACTCGTCACTTCTCTGCAAGATCTTTCTACTTCATTTAGGAAACTGCAAAGCTCTTATTTAAAAAGTAAGTGTCTTTATCAACTCATAAGGCTAGCCTATTTCATGTTTATGTACTTTGTAGGAATTTGTTGAAATTTCAATCAGCTGTAATGTTTGTGTTGTGTTGAACAACTTTTATTAGTGTAGATCTCTTTAAAATGATGTAGGCCTAAAGTAAACCTCGTTATGGAAATGGTGATTCTTTGGCAGGATTTACACATACCCTTTGCAGTGGTAGTATGATACAATTCTATACAATATTGCTGTTTAATGTTGGAGGCAGAGATTTTTAATCACGCATAATACTGTGGAAGTAACAGCCAAGCAAACTAAAAAGTATCTCATTAAGTCCTCAAGTCACCTAGGGGCTCTAGGTATACAAGAGGTAGGCCTACCGTATAGTAGAACTCTGATTAGCCAAATTAACCCTCCGAGTGTCCATAGTTTAGGCCTTAATGTCCGCCTATTTTTGGCGCATTTCCAAGGTTTTATTAAAACGGATCTGAGAAGCTTAAAACCATGTTAATTCTACTGTTCTATATACCATTTTGTTTGGAAAATCATGGGCTTCAATATCATACATAAAACATAAGGAATATTTGTTTCAAAACATTTTTTTAGGTAAAAAAAAAATTTTTTGGAAAAATTGAAAAAAAATAAGTTTGTGCTCAATGAAATTGTATAAATTATAGGCCTATAAATATTTGAAAATAGCCACTTTGTTCTAAATTGTATGAGGATTACAAATATATAGTAATATAAGGAAGTAGATTTGCAAATAAATAAGTTATGGGCAAAAAACAGATTTCAGTACATAGCGTTTAGCTAAGAATGCATAGCCTAACCATAGCTAGGAATCTGGCTGATAATTTACATCAATATCACTACCTACTTCTTCAGGATCATCAACCAGCCCTTCAAAATCACTTAAATCTTCTTATAATGCACCACGTATATCACTACTTTTGATTTTTAACACTAAAACAATGGATAAACGTAATAAAACACATCAGTCATCGGTCCGAGGTTAACCAAGCTGTTTACAAATACGCACGTCAGCTGTCTGCTACAATATTTTCGGAACTAAAATGAATAGCGCTTAGAAACAGACCTCTGGAGAAAGCTTAGAATCTAACAAAAAGAACGATACCTAACTCGATCCAGTTCAATCCGATTCAGTCAGTCATAGAGCCTTCGCCGTAAACGATGTTCGTGTGTCGAAAAATCGACAAGTGACACTACACAAAGTGTGTCGTGAGTCGATTTTTCGACAAGTGACGCTCGGAGGGTTAATTTTGAATTGGGCAGATTCTTAAATACAGAGATTAAGATGGCCAGATTAAAAAATAACCCTCCACAGCAAAACTGTAGCAAATTTCCATGTGCCTGATTGTATTTTCACTAAAATATCTCCTTAAGAATGTCAGATTTATTCCCTATTTAGATAAGATTGGTGTGAAGGTTTGCTGCTTCAATAAAGTGTGTTTTTTTTTATTATTATATAAACAAGAAAAGTACAACAGTTATACCTAATTTCATCATAATCAGGTGATTTTTGCTCAAGTTAACATGCTAACGGACACATAAAAAATGTGGTATACAGTATATACATATATATTTGAATCTGAATGGATCGTGTTTTTGGCCTCTAGGGATATAAAAACAAAAAAGTAAATCAGTTCGAGGTCCAAATTTTACTTTCAGACCTATGGTAATAGCTCTATAGCACTTTAGGAAATACGTTAAAAAAATATAATATGCAATGAACAGGTAGCCTATTTTATTCTTGCATGTACTTTCTTTTAGAAATTAACTCAAGAGAAGAAACTTCAAGGTTGTTCTTTGACTCTGAGATGTCAATGGGACGTCAGACTGATCTAGACTGGGAGGTCGACAATGAACTTGACAACTTAGACAGAGCGTTCAGCCTATCTACTGCTCAGCAGGTACTATATTGATCCATGTTTCAACCAGTGAAATTTCACATATGAAAATAATGGTTTAGGATCTTTTTTTGTTAACAGAGGGTCAGGCTTACAAGTTATCATGTGACTGCATCGCAGCTGGAACAGCTTATTGTGCACCCTCATTCACAGGTCCTCATTCTCCGTCAAATCCCAGGTCTCCATAGTGAACCATGAGATCCTTTTGACTATCCCTTTGATCTCCCGACAATAGGCCAAGGGATCTCATATGCAGACCTTGTAGGGCTGGGCACATAAATATAACGTGGAAGGCTGACTCCTCCTCCACACTACATTTCCTACATAAGAGGCTTTCAACTTGAATTCCCATCTTGTGTAGATGTCCGCGGAATACCCAGTGGCCGCTGATAAAGCCAACCACCTTCCGCAGGGTCTTCATATTCAGCACAAGGGCATCTGCAGCTATCGCATCGGTAGGTGTCTGCAGCATTCTCTTTGACTGCATCTTGCCATTATCATGACCAGGAATTGTCCGTCAGGGTTTGCACCATGTCCTTCTTGGTCATTGCCCCTGTTGAGGTGGGAACAAACGCTGATACATTCACAGCTTTCACAAGGTCTCTGGCTGGGGCAAGCTGTAGTGAGATTTCCCCGAAGGGACTCAGCTCCTGAACTTGCTTGACCAGCCAATCCTTTATGGCTGCGTTGGCACAGCCAACCACCAAGGCCTTTAAGATGGCAGCTGCTTATCCTGACGTCTTTGCCACGAATGGCCCACCTGGACAGCTCCCCCTTGATTTTGTTGGCTTCAGCCTCCATCCGTTTCCTGTCCGGGTGTTCAGATTTGACGATGACCATCTTCTCCACAGACATTGTCTCCGAATAGGTGTGGGTACCGGTGTTCTCTGTGAAACACCCGAGCCCTCTCCCTCTTTCGTCCTCGTCTTCTTTTCCTTGCCCCAGACATCCTCATGTGTCAGGTGCTCTCGCCCCCTCATTCCATCTTTCTTCCCGGAGGCTTCACTAGAGTCAGCTTTGGGGGTGCCAACCTCGCCCTGCTTTTTTCCCAGCATCCTGGTTCCCGGAGGATCTGGCTTTGCAGGGAGCAGGGTTCGGGTACTTGGCAGCCCACGTTAGCCTCCTCTTACTTCTGGATTGCACCTTTTTGCCTTTAGCTAAAGCATCTGCTATCCTCTGTCTTCGCAACTCGCCCCTGGAAAGTCGTTTTTTTTTTTGTTCCTTTTGAAGAGAAACCTATTATATGTTCGATATAAAAGTCAACTTCGACTTGTGGTGCATGTTGAAATTGACTTACCTTTTGAAATTTGAGTTGTGATAGTTTTTATGTAATTTGAGATGGAGGTAAAATATATAAAATTATTTTTAGTAATATAATCATGTATTGTTATTTATTTATTTTACCAAGAATGGTTTACACAGGGATTGTAAATAATTTTAAATATCAAAAGAATTGTATATCAAGGTTCGAGTTAGCAAGAATTGTAGTGTTATGTCAAAAACTAAAGTCAAATCTCTAAACCGACAAAGCTGATATAAATTTTCTGTGTTCTGTAGGGAGGATTAACACAAACACAAACCCAACTACTACTACTAGAGGAGGAGAACACTCGACGAGCGGAACATCGGGAGGCGGAGGTGAGGCAGATAGTCAAGTCAATTGTGGATCTCAACGACATCTTCAAAGATCTGGCCCACATGGTCGCCGATCAGGTTAGTAACACTAGAGATAGTAATGAGTCAATCAAGTTGTATTCGCTTATACATTGCATATTATTCACTTGTTTTAATAGGTTCTATACAAGAAATGTTGCAATTTGTCCATATTGCTTCAGGTTAGACACCCACTCTTTTTCTTCTGCGATCAAAACTCGTAGCTCTTTTACACGGTGTTTTTTGTTGTAGTTTTGCTTCTGTTTTACTTTCTCTGAGCTGTCCATTGTCTTAATATTTTCCAAGTCTGGCCACTGAGGCTCCAATGATTCGTCTAAACAGTGAACAGTGCTTCTGATTTTCCTACTAAAAAGAAGCTCAGCAGGACTGTAAACACAGCTTAGTGGAGTAGAACGATATGCTAATAAGTATCTTGATTTTTCTTCAGAATGTTTTTAGCAATTTTAATTGCACGCTCAGCCTGTCCATTGATTTGCGGAAACAACGAGCTGAAAATAATCAGTTCAAAGTGGCATTCCTTAGCAAACTCCCTGATTTCTCTCGAATTGATTGGGTTGTTATCAGAACTTAAAACTTGGCAAGCCATGTCGGGCAAATCTAGTACCGTGGAAAATCAAGTTGTAATGAAGCACCAAATTACCTCTTTCCTCAACAAATGCAGTTTTCTTCAATGTGGTCCAATCACCAGATTTAATCGCATCTTTTTATACACCACACAAGGTATCCTCAGCTTGGACATCCTTTATTGTTGAAAATCGAAGGTTGTTGAACATTTTATTGTAAAATATTATTTGGCACCGCTGCAATTGCTCATTTCATCCCATGCTTTAAAGTGATTTACAATGGTCCAAGGACAACTTAATTAAATCAAGGCTTGGATGTTCAACACACTAGGATAAATCCCTTGTATTAGCAAAAGCAATTAAGTTTGTAATTGATAAAACAATGTAGTTTAAAGATAAAAATTGTCATATTTTGCTCATTTGCTTCTTTAATCACAACACCACAATTGCGGAAATCTCCGTGACCTTAAAAGATAACCAACAGAACACCATTTATGAATAGACTAAATTTTTAAATCATATAATCATCATAAATAGACGATGGCAATTTTCAATGGTTCCAAATTTCCAGCTTCCATTTGAAATTCAGACTTTTTTCCGGTCATCTAAAATCCACACATTCCCAGTTTTCTGATCGGCTGGACATCCTGGTTGGTATTTCAGAACATACCAAAATTGCGTAGTTTTTAATTTCATTTGGTTTAGGTTAACCAGAGGTTTGCATTATTGGGGTTTGAATTTCAGAAACTCTGGTGTACTGTAAGTCAAAGACAATCTACCAATCCGTCTCTTTTACATACATCAGACTCAGACTGCACATTTTACTCTTGAAAATGGAAAAACATATAGTTCTACTAGTTTTATTGAAGCCACATTGTTTATTTTTAATTTTAGTTGTAAAGATTGACATGACTAATGCAAATTTTGTACTGGCTATTTTGGTTTAACTAGTGACCCTGTTGCTCGAATTCGAGCAATTGCTTATAATTACAGGTGTTATTTTAAAACGAATAACAGTCATAATTTCTAATGACTTTATAAAGATTCGACTCAAAGAATATGGAAATACTCAAGATGTAGGCCTACATCACAGATTATGTCATTTTATCTAGGCTCTCTCGCTTTTTTCCATTGTAATATTTACGCCAACCCAAATTCAAATAGTAAATATAACATTTCAACCAAGTCAGTAAATGTTTGTAGCAAACGCATTGACTGTTTACAATTAACATACGTTCTTCTTCTCACTTTTACTTTCTGTCAGCAGCTGGAGTTTCATAACAATTTTTGTTTCCCATGTTAATCTTATGGAGAAATACGAAACTTTAAAGGGCCCCAGGGCCTCACTCTCTATTTATTTCCCTAAAAAGAAAGTTTCCTGCACAACTTCACGTTACGCTCTTTACAATGACACCAAAAACATGTCAATCGGTTCAGTAGTTTTGTTGGAGTAATTGTCACAAAAAACCTGCTTGCGTATTAAATAAGTAATAATAGATAATTGAGTTATTGAGCTATATTAGTTTTGTATCGTTGGTATCTATCCACTTTACTTGGACGTGCCTCTATTGCTTGTTCCAGGGCACAGTGCTCGACAGGATTGACTACAACATAGAGCAGGCCCAGGTACAAGTACACGAAGGCTATCAACAACTCCAGAAGGCTGACTTGTATCACAGGAAGAACCGCAAGATGATGTGCATCCTAGTGTTGAGTGTGGTGACTATGCTCCTGACTTTTATACTTATTATCACCAAGTTTTAACTTGTACTTATAGAAGCCAAGCTTTAGTATTCAATGATGCCATGTTTATTTCGTATCTTGCTTAGCTCAAGTCATTATTGTGTTGTTGATAACCAAAAGTGCATGTATATATTATTATTTGTTGAATCAAAGTCTTTCATATGTTTATTATAGCTAAGTTGATTTTAGATTTAAAATTATTTTGTTGATTTAGGTTTGAAACCCGGTTTTATAAGTATTTAAGTGAGTTTATTATAATAATATGTATCACCATTGATAAAATATATCTCATGCTCCCTTATACATTTATAATGCTTATGGATCAGAGGAAGTCAATTTTGTGTTGTGTTGATCAATAACGCAGGATCATAGGGGCCTTTTTATTTCTAGTGATTGTATAACCTATAAAATTATAAATTTCGAATGTACTTATTTATGTGAAATACTACTTGTTCTATGGTATTATAACAAAAATATTGAGCACAGTTTTAATCTACTGTAAAAAAACATAGAAATATTTTTGTCAACATTAACACACTCAAGCCTAAAGGTACTAGCATTGACTTTACAGAGAGCTTCAAATGTTACTTGAATGGGAAGTCTACTCTGTGTATGGTCAATGGTACTTCAGGCTACAGATTTCACATATGGTGAAAATCCTACTTGTGGTATCTAAAGTCAATGGTATCACATGGCTAGTCAATAATTACTTAAATGTTCAGTAGACAGAGAACAAAATACATCCAGGGCATACTTTAATGCTGTAATTTATTTTGGTTATTTTTTATGTACAGTATTGTAAATATAATGTTCCTAATTTTTATTTCCCTCATTTTAACATTGTTATTTGTTATAAAATATATGGTTTTAAAATCTATTTATAATTAATCAAATGCATAATGTTATATTGAACCCTGAGTTTTTATGAGTAAAACTTTTTCTATGTAAAAAGTCTCAAAATTGATTATATCCCAAACACTTGTTTCCTAAATATTTCTTTTCAATGTTTCCAGAACTGTTTTTATTTATAATTTTATGAAAAACTAGCAGAGTACCCGTCCTTCGTACGGGGTTGGCGTAAGTATAAAATGCTTATTGCAGTTATACTCGTGCTTTGAATTTGCAATAAGAGAAGGACACGGTTGGAGAAAATTTGGTTCTTTTAATTTACGGTATGAAACATCTACCATAGCCATAATAATGTTCTACCTTTGCACCTAAACAATAGAAAATAAACGGTATCAGCATTCTGACACATACTTTCTCCCATAAGTTTGTCAACAACCTTTATCATGTGTAAGCGGTGAGAGTAAACATACGGAAATGGAATTTGTACGATTTTGTTCAGAACTTAAAGGACTGTAACATACTAAATTTTTATCAAAATCGTTCGGGCCATTTTTGAGAAAATCCGATTTTTCCATTTTTTTATGGGTTTTTAAGGGAAAATCCCCATTAAAAATCAAAATTAAAAAAAAAATGAAAAAAACGCCAGGAGATACCATGGATTAGAACCTCCATACCAAATTTCATCGAAATCGGACCACAGGTGTAGTCCCTAGCTCTGTACACATCCAGACACACAGACGTCACTTCGAAAACCACTTTTTTGGGTCCAGGGGGACCCAAAACGAATCCATCCACTCAAAACTCAAACTCGAAAATTTTGACGAAAACAATACTTTCTCCATATACTATAGTATAGGGGGAAAAAGTAAAAGTAAATTTCCAACTACTCGCACTATATCACAAATTATTTATAAATCAAAAACTTAAGAAATACCTGTAAACAGGATCCTACTTTGACAGTTTTCATTGTGTATAACAGCTTTTTGTTACTGCTTGGTTCAAATTAGCTCTTGTCATAAATGCAAAAAGAATTAATAGTGCTGCACCCTGTTGGTAAACCTTTAATCTTTTAATGCTATTGAATTCATAGAACCAACTTGTGTGTAATACAGCTGATAAAATTCTTTAATTCCGTTTAAATATGGATACTCATGAAGTTAACATGGGAAACTCTAGAGCCACTGGGGCGGAGCCCAAAAGGGTTTTTTGAGATAAGAATATGTCTATATGTTAATCGGGAAAGTAAGATATCATCATTCCAAATTTGAACCCAATCCGACCAGTTGTTAATGTGTGATTGAACTTAAAACAAACAAACAAACATACATACAAACACACAAACTTTCACATTTATTTAAAATAATACTAGCAGGGTACGTCCTTCGTACGGGGTTGGAAAATAAGTATAAATGCAGTTATACTCGAACTTTGCGTTTGCAATGTGAGAAGACACGGGTTGAGAAAATTGGCTTCCTCAAATTTACGGTATGCTATAGTATTACACATCTACCATAGCCATAATGTTCTACCACTTCACCTACACAATAAAGAAAGATAGATTATTAAAAATTTGCAAAATATCACAAATTATTCATGAAAAAAAAATATAACTGTAATAAAAATCCTACTTTGACAACAGTTCTCATTGCGTATCACAGTTTTTTGTTGCTGAAAAAAATAATAGTGCTGCACCCTGTTGGTAAATCTTATAAATGTTTAATGCTTTTGCATATAATAGAACCAACTCTTTTAGTTGAGACAGCTGGCTAAATTTGTTAATTATGAATATTCATAAGGTTAACATGGGGAACTACAGAGCCACTGGGGGCGGAGCCCGAAAGGATTTTTGAGATAAGAATATGCTTATATGTTAATCGGGAATGTGAGCTATCATCATGCCAAATTTCAGCCCAATCCGAACAGTATTTTCCGCGTTTACTTGTCACAAACATACATCCATACATCCAAACTTTCTCATTTATAATATTAGTAGGATTAGTATGATAATATGATTGATGTTTTTAATCAATGTTATTTTCCTTCATGAAAGCTGTAAAAATGGTTAGCAATTATTGTCATTGTCAACCACTGTAATTCGACACATTATGTAAGGTTTGAATTGCAAGGGACATTGCAATGAAAGTATGAAAGCATTTATGTAGCAGCAAAGCTTTTTGTTTGCCACAGACTACTGGTTAGTGCTTGGTGAAAAGGGTAAATAATAATCTATGATAGTTATAAATTGAATTTATTGAATAAAAATTTTATAGATAAATAAGTCAACATTTTTTTTCTTATAAATTAAACATCATATTCCAATTTGTCATGTCAAAATAGCATAGCTCAATGGAATGATGGATACAAAATACAATTAGAATTTCCTCCTCCATTCCTCATATTCTTTAACAAATTTCTTAATAAATGTTGGATATTGTACGTGTCTTGTGAAATGCATTTTTAAATCATCTGTACAAAAATAATAAAAAATAATAGTAACAAATAGTTTGAGTATACTTTCAAGAACTCTTTTAGTTTAGGTTTAGAGATTTCTTTTTGATGCCGTATAACCCCGGTTTCTATGAGTCATTGTTTGTCTAGGTTCATTTCAAGAAGCTTTTCAAATGAATGTGAGTGTATTTAAAGCAAAGAGATTCAATACTGAAGAAAACGTAGAGTTGAATGATTATTTTTTATAAATACTACTTTAATTGACCACCTCAATGATGAACAGCTTTCCAGCAAATGAGCTAAACAAAATTTCCAATTTGACTGTTGTTAGTTTTTTTAGCTGGATACATGTTTATTTTTACAGTTATGTAATTCTGTAATGAGTTGAGTTGCTAACTATTAATTTAGTATTTTACTTTTAACATTTATTTATTTATTTATACACGGCAATAAATAAATGACAATTTAATTGAAACACACTCTTGTTATTGAAATCATAAAATTGGAAAAATACAGCACAAAAATGTTGTCATAATTTACAAGAACTGGCATTTAAAACATGTTTCAGGCAATTTATATTACACAATTTCCAACAAATATAATGTTTTCAACAAGTCTATTTTAGGAGGTTTAACCGTTTGTATACTTTCATACATTCTATATGGTTTTATCTTTTTGTTTAGCTTATCAGGTAATAATACTTGGGGTTTTATTCCTTTGAAAATTCCGTCTGAAACCTTTTTATCAGTAACCTATGAAACACCTTTCTTGAAGAAAAAAAAACATTTCTCAGTTAAGCTATCGCAACTACATAACAATTTGCATTCTCTCTTAAAACAGAACACTTATAGACACTTAAGAAAATTTTTCTAAATATTATTTGATTTATTGTTAACAGAGTATAAAAATAGTAAAAAGTATAAGACAAAATAAATTACAGTAAGTTTTGTTTTGTAATACCTAGTTTTTAATATAAAAAGCAGATCATAGAAAAAATACAACATACCGATTTATTTAAACTTAACAATAAATATAAAATTAATAATAATGAAAATAAAAATCTATAAATTGATATTTCATTAGACTTTAAACCATAGTTTATCTTCAGTTAAGGGTATATTTTAAAAATATAATGGTATGACTTTAAATGCTTAGCCTACTTGCAAATATTATTAAAGTTTCTTCCTATAAAATTAACAAAAATTTAAAAAATTGTTCATGTAATTCTATGTAATTCTAAAAGTCAAAAAGTAACAGATTATTTCATCTATATAATCACTAATAAAGTAACATTTTTTTTTATCTAGCCTATACTTCATATTGATGTTCACAAAATTTAGTTAAAAAAAGCTACAAATCATATTAATTGAATACACAGTATTTTTAATATGTCTAAATAAATAATACAGCATTGTAACAAACATTAATATAAGTTGTCAATCTTTTTTATCACAGGGCCTTAGTCACAGTTTATATACATCCTACGCTATCCTCAATATTTACATCACCGTCCATACCTCTAATTTGTTCATACATTTATGCTGATTAAGAGTTAAGACAACAACTCAGTTGTTAAGGAAAAATGATTTGATATAATCTAATATTTCTTTTTTCATAGACTATTCAATATGGATTGAAGGAAAACTAATGCAAAGAGAGAATTTATTACTGTTCTCATAACTTTTTAAAACTCTTTTTTGTAATTTTTTTAGCAGGTACAGTTAAAATCCTACACTTTCAAGAGTAACAACATAGGCTATATGTATTTTCAAATTGTTGTAAAAAATATCTGAGATTTCTTTAGGTCTTAAATTAAAAAAATTCTGTATAACACATTACGTTGTGGATAAAATAACAAATTTTGAAAACTAAACTAATCCTAACACTAATTTTGTATACAAATGCTTTGAGACCTAGACTAAAACTGAGGCAATACCATGTACATCACAGATGGTGCTACACCAACAAGCGTCTTTCGCTTGTATCTCGTCACGTCGTCTGCTTCCTTCGTCTGTGGAGGTCGCCTGTGATGGCAGTTGCTCCGCCCAGGAGGAAGCGTACAAAGTTGTCACCTACCAATGGTCCGGCCGCATACACTCCCTCACCCACACCTAACACCTTGTGTGTCCAAGGGTCGACTGCGAGGGGGTTGGATCGACAGTCCAGCGGTTGTTCAGGGTCCACCTGTCACAAAAATTTAAGGTTAGAATTTAATCTTTGAAAATGGATAGCTACACATTCCATTCCCATAAGTTGTAGTCAGAATGAAAACAAACACAAGCCGAAGCCACTGACAGAGTGTTTTGTAGTTTAGTACTGAATTATGTTGAATCTGCCAACGTTTTAACCATGCTTAAGCTTAAAGGACAACTTGTTGTTAGCTATTGTATCTCTTGTGTAGTATCACAGTTCACAGGAATGCTTTGTTACTAAACACTTAATCCTTTGGTCAGGAACTGAAGCCTTATGATCACGGACAACAGGGCCCAGTTTTAAGCCTGTCATAAAGTGTATTAACTTTTCATTAGGGTGGCAATCTTTGAATTACTAAAGGAACTCTTACAAAACAACTATCCAACATAGATAAAAAAACTGTTCAGGGATTTTAATGGGTTTGGGTCAAATAAATAAGAAAAAGCCCTCAAGTGTAGTGAAGCTTTAAAATATTTTATAATATTTTGAAAGAGATGCAACTCTAATTATATACTTAAATAATTTTGTTCACAATAACAATACTGAACTAAACTACTTTCCTGGATGAAAAACAAAAGTCAGTTTGGCTATATGGATCAATGGTGTCAAAATAATTATCAAGAAAATGATACATTGCCTGTTTAGATCATATATATATAGGATATTTATATGCATGCACTGTGGATGCGATGCTCCCGGGTGTGGATTAACGTCCCCGCTAGTGGGTACTACGACTATCCGCAGTACTATCCTGATAATTAGACCAATTTGTTAATAACAAGGAATAATGTGGTTTGGATTCCATCATAAACTGTAGGTCCCTTACTTGCCATAGGCTGTATGGGCTATTAATTAACAGCTGAGTCTAAGGAACATGTCGGCCTTAGTCACTAATAAGACTACAAGATCGCGCCACTCATCATTCTCATATTTGGGTTAAAATACGCACATAGTGGAGTCCCCATCTTAAATAATTGATAATTGGTACATCACTAACTGACTTGCAGTGGAGAACGCCTGAACTAAAATTCAATATTAAAGTTTCTAAAGTACCAATACTTGAAGATTTTCTCATAAAACTATATGATGAACAAATTTAAAACTTCCAAGTAATGAAAATTGTACACTTACTGCGAGAGTCTGACCGTCGTGGAACTCCGCTGGGAGGAACGACAAGTCCGGACGAGATCCTATGAGGATGACCATGAGCGAGGCTTGTAGCACACTCTGGTGGCCTGAAGGTGAACTGATGGACACCTTGTGGCTGTCGGAGGCGATGTGAGTGACTCGGTGGTGAGGGTAGGCCTCGTAGCCTGCGTACCCTCGACCTCCTGCATTCATCATCTCACGGACCTGCAGCAAGGATTAGATTAGATTCATACACCCAAGAACATGCCTAAGATCAGCTGGTTCCTTAGTCAGGATCATTTTAATAAAATCCCAATAATCAAGGACAGCTTAGACAAATGTTAAAGATTTAGACTTCTCTCAAGATTAAACTGATACTGAGCGAGCACTATATCCACTCAGCTACCTAGGTCTAAGATATTCACAGAACAAACATACTGTATTTCCAATAGTTTCTTACAAAAGCGTACAAAAACTGAAAGAACTATTGAGCTGATACTTTACCACTTTGGCATCATGGGCATAAAATTTAACAAGCTCGAAACCTATTTTTGTTACTCACAAATTAGTTAAGACACCACAATTAATTAAGACACACTTACTTTTACTGTAACTGTGATAGGTTAATTTGATTTCACAATATGATAAACTTTGCTTTCCATAAGTCAGTTTGTGAATCGTATTAGTGCAAACAGAGAAGTGAGCTTAAAGGAGTGAGAATGTCAAGTCATCTGCTATCTATATACACAATACAATAAACAAACTCATTTTTGAAGTCAATTAGAGAATAGTTAAGTCCCCACACTAAATCATAGTTTTAATTTTTTTTTTACAATTCAAACAAAAGCAGGTTTATATTTTTTATCTGTGATTAAAATAGTCACATAAAAAATGTACTCAATGGCCCATTCATTCTACAGTGTTACGTTAGTTTGGACTAAACCATTTATCACCTAAGCAAACTTTATTCAATATAGAACACTTGCAACACATAAATGAACATGTTTGGTGAGACAGTTAGAATCCAACATGCAACTCATTCAGTACAAGTCTTCATTTATAATTTAATAGTGTAAGAACTGGTGTGTAGTAACTACCTTGTGGTATTCAGGATACATGTTCTCAGGTAAAGCGTGTTCAGGGGAGATTCCACTGCGTCGGAAAACATGGATCAGTGGAACCGAGTGGAACCTGCAAGCCAACACTGCGTCTGCCGCACTGAGTCCAGCACCAACTACACAGACTGGGTCGACACTGCGAGAACCTATACAGAGAGATCAGATTACTGCAATGCCTACTGATTTATATTTATATTCGGGTTTACGATTTATATTTATATTTATATAATTACTTATTTATATTCGGGTAAGTGTTTTAAGGTGAAGTGTGTTGGAGAATGAGATTTTTTTAGATGTAGCCCTATGGCTTGCCACCCGTCCCGATTCTGGTTCCTTATGCCAGTATTTAAGCCTATGTTGATGCGGGAGGGAGGGGGGCAATGTCCCGATTTTTTCCTGACCTCAGGTGGCAACCCTGCAGCAGGCGCTTCTAATAAAACATTATAAAATATAATTTGCTCTGGAGATTATGGATCTTTTGCAACAGTTCCATTTGTTTAACAATTAAATGTGTTATGTAATTTTTTTAAGGGAAGGACTATACATATTTTGATTTCATCATGTTTGTAAAATATTTTATTTATTTTAATTCATTCAAGTGAATATTTTTATTCAAGTTTTACAGGTTAAGCAATTTGGTTGCATATACTACTGTTGCTTTGTATCTTAAATGAAGTAGTTTTTCATTTCATAAATTTTATTATTCTAATTGATTCAAAATTATTATTTCTTTCTAACTGTGGAAGAAATAAACATAAGATAAAACTATATACCATAACACCTTATAACTATCCCAGTTACTCACCATCCTTGATTCCCGGGTTGTCCTTGACAAACTGCGCGAGAGCCTTCTCAAAAGCAGCCAAGTCATGGAACACCCACGACGTGTTATCCATCTCCCCAGGTACGCAGAGTCTGTTCGGCTGGTCTGTTGACCCTGTTGCCATCACGACAGAGCGACAGACATAGCTGAATGGCTTGTGGGTCTCAGTGTCGTAACCTTCCACCGACCACTGCGCTGACGCACACGAGCAATCCTTCTTCTGGAAAAGCAGCTTTAATCAATTTCATGTCACAAATATTTTGACACATTGAAATTTTAGATGTAAATAAGGGCTTCAGTCAAACTTTTAAGAACACTTTTGTTTGCAGTCACTAGTCAGGTTACAAAGTTAGCATATTGAAATTAATTTCACACAGTATTTGGAATACTAACAAAAAACATTTCTTTCGCCTAGCAGAATTCGATTTAATATAGAATACCAATTATTGTTTTACAAAGTCAGAGATGGCTATAGACAATCTAGAAAACATGAAATCGAGATTTTACAGGAATTAAAACATTGAACAGTTAATTTTTTTTGTGTCCACATCAGTGGCACATTGAAATAAAGAATCACATAAAATATTTGAGGGAAAGCAGTCATAACCCCTAGTTTTTATTGGATTGAACCTAACTCTCTCGTACCGAAGTCTTAAACGCTAAAGCCGGGTTTACACGATGCCAGTTGGCGAGACAATTGTCTTTACCAATTGGCATCACGTGGTTTTGGAATTGTCGTAGGCCAGTCCAGTTGAACGCGGACCTGTTCACACGTGGCCGACAATTGCCTAGGCAATTGAGGGATATACATCAGCTGATCCACATCCGGACTTGGCACTTTTTTCAGTTTACCCATCTCAATGTTAAACGTACCGTGAAAAGCCTTGATTTTTGCTTTTACCTCAGCTACACCAAATCCTTGGACGTTTAAATTTTCCGAAATTGTGGTGTGAGCCGTCTGTCGAGCATTTTTGTCTCTGTATAATTCATCTTGTTGGTCCCACAGACACCTTTGTTCTTTGGATAGTTGGATGATTTTAAATACATGTCATCATTCCACTTTGGTCCCATTTTTGCTAGTAAGAAACAAAACAACAACACAACACACGCTTCAAGTGACGCAAGGGATCTAGTGTACTACATGTACTACTGCCAGTGCCAGGTAAGGAGGCAAGACAGCGCTACTGGACTGGCCTACACCGTCTACACGGCGCCAATTGGGGCGACAACTGGATTTTCAAGGGGTGGGGGGCCTCGCTGGGCCCAGCTCATTGTCCTCAGTCTACTCCCGGAGACAACTGAATTTCGGGACAATTGGCGGGCCAATTGGCTTGCCAATTGGCCTGAAGTGTTTACACGAAGCCAGTAATTTCAAGCCAGTCAGTTGTCTCATGACAATTGTCTCGCCAACTGGCATCGTGTAAACCCGACTTAACCACTACTCAAACTACACATTCTACTGTAAAGCCGGGTTTACACGATGCCAGTTGGCGAGACAATTGTCTTTGCCAATTGGCATCACGTGGTTTTGGAATTGTCGTAGGCCAGGCAAGTTGAACGAAAACCTGTTCACACGTGGCCAACACTTGCCCAGGCATTTTACAGTGAACCAGGGTACTACTGCTAAAAGACAAGACAGTGCTATTGGCCTCTACACCGTTTACACGGCGCCAATTGTCACGACAACTGGGTTTTTGAGGGGTAAGGGCCTCGCTGGGCCCAGCTCATTGTCCTCAGTCTACTCCCGGAGACAACTGAATTTCGGGACAGTTGGCGGGCCAATTGGCTTGCCAATTGGCCTGAATTGTTTACACGAAGCCAGTAATTCCAAGCCAGTCAGTTGTCTCCTGACAATTGTCTCGCCAACTGGCATCGTGTAAACCCGGCTTAAAAGACTATTCTAATATTTATTATATATTGATTAGGGGCTTCCTTTGTAATCTGATAAAACACATCATCCTGCAAATCAACCTACGGCAATCTTTCTACAAAGAAAAATTCAATCTCCAAAAGAGTTCATTTAATTGAGAGCATAAACTCACCAGGTTCAGAGGAGGCAAACGACGGACGGAGGTGACGACCACGTTGTTACGCAGGTACTTGCCCAGCCTCATGAGTCGCACGTAGTCGCGGTAGTAAGCTGCCACACTTGCGACAGGAACACGTCGCACTGTCGTGGACGTGCCTCCGTTGTGGAGCATCTCCCACTTACGGAACTCCAGTCCGGGCAACTCCATCCACGAGGACAAGCTGATTGTCAACACATTGCCGTCCATCGCCTGGAAGCATTGCATGTTAGGTTAGGACATGAAGTGATAATGCACATGATAATGGACATAAGGCGAGAATGCAGCAAAATTATGATTCTCTTTTTTCTGGGTTTATTCAAACTATTGGCATTTTTTATGTTTTTGGTAAAGAAAGACTCCAAAACCTGATCTTTACTATCTAACATAGACCCTTAGTTCATTAATTTTAATTTATAGCCAAAATTGTATCTGGGTCCAGAGTATAACTCGCTTCAAAGCGAACCAGCTAAACCATCAGATTTAAAAGTGAACACTTCAACAGTTTGGCTGCCCAAAAGAGGTTCAAGACAGACAGATGAGGTTCATAAACAGACTTAGAAATAGCACTCTCTCTAAATATTTAAAGATTAAAATGTACCAAAACAATAGTTTTTTACAGTCTGTCTTGACGGAAACATCTACACCTGGTATTGCAGTATCACAGTAAAAAAATCTGTTAACCGATTTAAGAAAAGTCAAGCCACAAAAACATTGGGTTTTATCTATAATAACAACACGTTTTTAGTAAATAACTAGCTGACCCGGCGAACTTCGTATCGCCTAAGTTATAGGTTTCCCCTAAGACAGACCGATGGAAAGAAAGTACCGTTACGTTTAATTTTCAAGATGATCTCGTTCGCATCGCTCAATCACGTCCTGGTTGAAGTTCGTTCGCTACGCTCACTCACCTTTGGGTTGGAGCTCGTTCGCTACGCTCACTCACCTTTAGGTTGGAGCTCGTTCGCTGCGCTCACTTGCCTTCAGGTTAGCTCGTTCGCTACGCTAACTCGCCTCCAGGTTGAAGTTCGTTCGCTACGCTCACTCACCTATTGGTTGCAAATTAGATGTTGTCATAAATGTAAAAGAAATAATAGTGCTGCACCCTGTTGGTAATCCTTGTAACTTTAATGCTATTGAACATCATAGAACAGAACCAACTTGTTTAATTGAAACAGCTGTTAAGATTCATTAAATCCATTTCTCATAAGGTTAACATGGGAAACTCCAGAGCCACTGGGGCGGAGCCCTTTTAAGAATTTCGAAACGGGAAATAGTTTACGTCCGATTCGCATACCTACAGAATTTACACACCAAATTTCATAACGATCGGTGAAGTCGTTCCGGAGGAGTTTGCAGACAAACACTGTGACACGAGAATTTTATATATTAGATTAGTAACAATTTGTGAACAATAATTTTTATTCCACTCTATTCCTTACCTGCCAAGCTCCGCCGGGTGGCCCCTTCCCGAGCACTATGTGGTCTACTGCACTGTCCGGGTGAGGTCTCCACTCCACCAATGGAGGAGTGTCTAGACCCAGGTCTGCTGCAGGATGGGTCAGGTGATCCATCAGTACGGACACTGGGTTGGTAGACCTGCCCTCCAGACCCTGCAAGGGGAACATTACAGATATTAATACCTAGCAACTCAGTAGACTGAATAAACAAATTAGGTGGAATCAAAGTATAAATATATTTGGCATTATAAAGGTTTCCATACTTGCAATTTGAATATGACATAAGGATTCATGGAGCTATTATTTTGTCTTGATCTATGAAAACATACCTCCTCCCATTATTATATTCAACTGTTACAAGGACATAAAAAGTTAATATCGTTTCATTTACATAGTAATGGAAAACACCCATACCACATAGCATAGCATGTCGTTGAATAATTTCCACACATTACAAAACATGGAACATTGCGAAAACAAAACCACTCATTATCTTGGAACAGAAACATCACTATTGCATTGGCATTCAACTTTAACTGTTACGGATGATAACATCAGAATCATTAGTAAACAATAATAAACTGTGAACTTTAGAATGTTTACATGTTATGAAATATGCTCACGATATCAGCTTGCTACTATGTCATTTATTGATTATCTGTCATGCCCAGAATGGAAAATTCTATGGTTAATAATAACTGTTTATAGTTGAAATTTTGAAAACAAACACAAGATTTTTCAAGAATAACATAATGTTGAAGTCATTACCAAATTAATGTTAATAATGTTTCAAAAGGTTTTTATTTTAAAGTGTTTAAATTTTGTCTGGATTCACTGTACTTTTTAGTTGTTAGTTCTGGTGTGTTAACACAATTAGTGAGGGTCCCCAAAAATTACATGAAAAGCCATTTTGAGTTTTGGACTGAAACAACTGTGCTGTTAATTTTTTTTGTTCCAATAAAAACCATAGCTCAACCTCTGTAGAGAATGGATCAAAGGGCAAGTTACTAAGAAGTTTCCTAAGGAATTTTATCTTCTAAATGATGTCCGTCCCTGAATGATTTATTAACGAAAGATATTTTTATTTTTAGAAAGACACACACATTAACCTCGCATCATCCTCCGACCAACCCTTAGCTAATATTTACCCTCTCACACTAGATCACTTGCAATGCTAAGTCTTGTGACACCAGTATTTCTTAAGAAGATTTTAAAACCCAATCTTGTGTAGTACAAAACCTTAACTTTTAATCTAGATTGAAATTATATATTGGAGACAGAAAAGTTAATGTACACATTTAAACAGGGAAGGTAATGTGGATCCTTACAGTAATAGAAAACTGATACCAAGCAGGTTAAAGATGGATTATTTATATGATTTCTCTATACAGTAATCTTCATGATAAAATAGGTCATGTCTAACTAATCCTATTTTGTGTGGCTTCTTTTGCTAGCTGTCAGAGATAATTCTAGCCGTGCTAAAATCTTGAGTAATTGTACTTGGGGTAAATGTCTTAACAATAGTAGATCCCTCTGTAAACATGATAAATTAACGATGCTTAGCTAAAATGTTGTATATTTTAAACACCATTGGCATTTTTTTTTCAGCTGCCAAACAAAAATCCATACCAAATCAGGTCACACACAAAAGCTTCAGCAGTTGCTATTTATTTCTCCCACAATCTTTTGGTCCCAACTAATTTTCAAATGGTTCAAGCTATGAAAACGCAAGTGTTGCGGTCATAGCTAATCAATCAATTTCCTAATTTTAGTAATATGATGTACAATCCTACCTGTGATAGAAACTCCAAGTCCTGTGTAAAGAGTGGTCGTGTGGTGGAAATAGCTTGTAGTCTAGCTGTCAACATATCATCTGTCGGATGAGGTAGGCCATTGTAGTATGGCAAATGTCCGGCTAACATGTATGACAGACCTAGGGCTGACGGTCCATTACCTGCAATACAACAATCATGATAACAGTCTGTGGCCTGTTTTAACCTTGTATTTGCCAGTTAACATGGGCATCAGCTCATGTGTGGAACGTATTCAGCAAAGCAAAGGCAGCAAAGGTTTATACGGAACAGTACAAGATGAACGTAGCGGTACTGTTAAATGTTTGTGCAGGCACCGAGATGTGAGATGGAAACCCACAACCTCGCCGCCATGAATTCATCACTTATCACTTCACTTTATACAAAACATTTAATAAAACTTTGGTAGAGAATGCCCAGTACCTGAACTCATTAAACTCGTATCACGGTTAGACCAAATTGAATAAAAATATAAGAAGTAAATATTGCATACACTGCAACAAAGTTTTCAATAATTAATTAACCAATTTATGTGGGTTAAATAGTCAAGACATATTAAACAACATTATTATTTTAAACTTTGGCTTATTTTAAACAACAGAACAAAATCATAACTCACATAGCTCAATGATCAATGAAATGTAAAAATAAATAAATTTTAAAAAAACAAGGCTGAAATGTACAATGCATTGTTACAATATAATATTGCAAACATTACAAGAAAGGCATCAAATAAATTATCAATTATTATCGTATGTTATTGTGTTTTTATGTTACAATTATTTTTATAGTGTGTATTAAAAACATCAAGTCAGTGGAGCCTCTAACTTTAAACATGTTCATTAGACAATGAGTAACTCCTTATAAAGCTAAAAAAAACTGCCAAATGAGGTAAAAAATGCATTGAAAACAAAATTCAACTCTTTGAAATGCATATTAAACCCTTTTAAAATAAAATGTACTTCATTTGTTTTGTTTACCCTACCTATCTGAAGAGGTTTCTTGCACAACCAATTCAAACTGCCTAACACTACCTGACTAGTTTAAAAAATCTTCCATCGCTGGTAACAATAAACACTAAATTTCAGGATGAAATGTGCATTTTCATTGACATTAAAACAGGTTTTTTTATTGATTAACTCATCATGACCTATTCAACTTAAAAAGCCCACTACCTGAAAAGCCTGTCCACTGTTGATTTATCTTCTTTTGTTCATATTCGGATAGTAATGAACAAATTTAATTAATAAAATAAAATAATTTATTAGTCATGTGAATGTCTAAAGACTTAAAACACGATTTAATATGAATAGTTCTATATTAATTACTCGATTATACATAACTGTAAAAATGTTGGCTATTCATAAGAAAATTCATTAATAATAATATTAAACTAAGTAAAAAGCAGATATAAAAACCACTTCTGAGATAAAATTAAGTTTTAAAATTCCGTTTAATAAAATGGGGGTTAAAGGATTGTTTCCGAAATTAGTTCAAATGGTTAAGTTCCACAATTGACTTATATGTGACAAGATTAAATACCAGTAATTAATAGCTTAATCTCTGGGAAATTCTCTAAATATTTATAATCACCCCTATATTGGAACTTTCACTTTACATGCAACATGGATTTACTAAATTGCACAACCACAAATCAAAACACTCCATATTGCTATTCACAACTAATAATTGAACTTTACAAAGAATACTGTATATTCATATTACTTACCGATAACCACCACTTCTTTGTAGACAGCGTCACAAGCCGAGTTGCAGTTCAAGTCCCTCATTTTGCAATATATTCACCAGATCAGCTGTTGCTCCTGTAACACAAACGCTATTTTCAGACAGACTGCCAGACCCACGAGAGCCGCGGCGCTCTTAAGCACTAGGTTATCTTTCGCGATTGTAATGAAGAGGGGGTAAGCTACTAAGCTGATAGATGATACATTCTATCATATTGTAAACATCGCTGCGATAAAATAAATTGTCGAATCATTTCCTTCCTCAAGATCAATTACAACATTTAGCCCTTATAGATATTATGTAATCTGGTTTGTGTTTTAATTAGTGTTACTTGGAACGTAAATTATTCTAATAAATTAAAGTTGTCTGCGTTAGCAATGGACTTTTAATTTTTATTTAATTTTGTTTATGCTGTAACCCAATATAGTGACAGCCTGTGATACACAAGAATCGTACATATTGAAATTTAAAAAATACCCTCGCAACAACAAACCTGCAGACTCGAATTTAAATTTTTCAGATTGGATTTTTACTCAAATATCTCCAATAACAAGACATGTTTATTTCCAATTTTTAAATAACATTAGATCCCTAGGTTTGCTGTTACGGGGAAGGTAATTTGACAAAATGTTAATAGTATAAGATTACAAAATTAATTTACCAAATTTGATCATCATGCATCCATAAACAAGAAAAGTACATAAGTTTTAATTTTCTCCATAAGATAAACACGGGGATCTTGAATGTACAGTTTTTCTGAATTTTCTCCGAAACGTTTAAATTAACAACAATACTTCAATATGCATGATTTGTTTTTAAGCTTTACAAGATGGCAGTAATGAAATTTGGGCATTTTCATATGTATGTACAGCAATAGTGACATAATTCAGTTTAAAACCTAGAAGTCCCATACAGAAAACATTTGTATTTTTGGAAAATAAAACACAACATGAAAAATATAGCTCTGAGCTTAAACAAACTACTGTAGTCACAACAATGTTAGAGCAGAGCCAACGTTATTTGCAACAGAGTACAAAACGAGTGATTGGCACCGGCCACCGTACCACGTGTGTGTTTATGCAATAGTTTTGGGAAGAAACGTAATTTCAATCCAGAGTGTTTCTGGGTAATTCACGAAGTTTGTTTATCTTTACGTGTATTTACCCTTCAACGTTTCACAATTGATTATATACACAGTGTTATTCCATGGGTTTACTATAAAATACCGGACTATAAAATATCACTATAATTTACTTTCGTGAAAAGTTATAGACAGATCTAAAGAAACACAGTTTAATTCCAATTTTACAAATATAAATCAATAAAGTAATGGTGTATTAGAGTTCTCGCATCAGAACGGATTCTAAATAATGAAAGTCGCTTTATGGAATTTTCAAACAATATGGTACAATACACAACTTACTTAATGAGTTGTTATTCGAGTTTTGCGAACTGAGAAAAGTTTCACGTGCATTCACTGACAAATTTCTGTTTTAAAAAGTTGAAATTTAAGAACCTTAAACTAGACACTTTGAGTCTACTGTTTAATTTGTTGAAGGCGTTTTAAACGCTATGAATTGGTTTTAAAATCACATTTAAAACTACAGTAGAATCCAACTATTGTGAAATTGTGTCACTGCTAAGACAATTGATGTGGGGCGAATCCAATAACTTATGTAACTATGCTATTTAATAAAAGCTATTAATAAATGCTGAATCATCATTGACGACTTAGTCAAATTTCGAACCAACAAAAAGCTACTGTCATCTCTGTCTATCGAACCGCCTAAACACAAAACAAAAAGATCAGCAATCAGCATAGATAGGTATGTAGTTTTTGGTGGTTACAAATTGTACTAAGCTATTGATGGTCATCGAGTTTTGCAATGGCTGGATATATAGAACATCAGCCATCAGCTGATCTTAGTCAGTAACATAACTACACAAATAATCACATTCGATTTTATTTTCATGAATTAATATATCCAGTTTAAAATGTGCATTGCTGTCTAGAAGTAATAAAATTCTGTTCAACGCGTTAAGGAACACCCTGTATAATGGTCGATAGCACGCCAGCCTTCCTCGAGATAAATAATGAATGACACCATGACCTTTCCAACAACATTCACCAGGTGTCTGGTTCTGGTATAATCGATCAGCTGTGTTCCCACTTGCAGGGTATTTATCCCGATAATGGGGAAATACACTGTGGGATATTACCCATAACGGAACCTTGGTCAATTGTTGAATCGATTCCTTGTGGGATTTTAATGTCGACTATGGGATATTCGGGAACTCGTGGGATAGGTAAGGATCGTTGAAAACCCTAACTATCAGTGTGTATTGTTAAGCCGTTGAAGAATTTGGCCAAGACTAAGGGACAATTCGAAATAATGTGGTGTAAAAAATATTTACAATATGTTGCCTTTTATTAGGTACTCGCTGTGATGACAGTGCAATAATATGTATGCTACAGTTCTTAGACTACAAGATAAATAATCATCTAAATGCAAAAAAAACCTCATCATTTAACTAATAATAATAATATAAGGACAGGTACTACTCCAAAAACATGTTTAAATGATTTATCTTGACCTTTCACAAAATTTTATGCCTAGTTGTAACAACATTAACATTCATTTAGACAGAGTCCTTATAACAACTTAAGAGTCTTCCGTAGTGGAAGCCATGTTGGATTTCATCCCCATAAGAACAATGTTAACTTTGGGTCCAAATATCTCACCAGCAAATTGTCGTATAATTATGGATAAGGAGTTAAATTTAAGGAATTGCGGTCCTCTAGAGATTGACGTTTTTTATTTCACAATTTTTAATTTTTATAATGAATAATTGATTATTAATTAGCTTAAAATTAAGCTAATTATTGAAAGGAAATGAAAATGGATTTTCGAAATTCAAAAACCTCAGTCACGAGTCTATTATGTTAAAATACAAATCATAAATTTCAAAGCTATATCTTAACACATAACGCCGTTACGTGTCCACAAATGATGTAATGTTTAACATTGTTCTTATGGGGAAGAAATCCAACATGGCTTCCACTACGGAAGACTCTTAATCAGCTGGATGTTAATGAATAAATTGTTGTTAAATAAATTTACAACAAAAATCGACCTTAAAAATGTACACTTAACGATCCAAATTGATCAAATAATCCAAACAAATGTAAAATTGAAATCGATTATAACAATTGCTGTACTCCAACTCATATCAATTATGTGATGCAGTTTGCACCGTTTAAAATTCCCAGTTGGCGCTAATTGACTTTAATTGAGTAACTCTTGAATAATTACGAACAATGGTTAACGAGCAAGGGAGGAGGGGGATCCAGCTGTTGATTTTAATTGACTTTAACCTTGAACTTAGTTAGAGTGGGATATACCAGCTTATCTGCTAACAATTGATCGCTATCTTCAACGCTTCAACTAACCTTTCCTCTACAACAACCGACCTCGTAGGTTAGTAGCAAAGGTTGTCAACTGAAGCTGACTACTTAAAGTATACTCGTTTCAGTATTTTCACAGTAAGAAGAAAAGTAAACCCCGCCCCCCTTGAACAAAGTAAAAACGGCCGGTAACATAAAAAAAATTAAATGGAAAATATACGATGAGAATCCGTCAAAGGTTTTATCTAGGGAGGTTATGGGGAGCAAGTTCAACACGAAAAATTAAATCAGCGACGACGTTAGAGGTGAGAAAACTGTTGCTAGGCTAAAATACCCCCACTGCAGCAAACCTGCAGGGTAAGCGAATTTCCATTTACCTGTTTAGATTTACACTAAAATGTCTCCTTAAAAATCGCATTTATTCCCTATTTAAATAGAATTATTTTAACGAGTACTTAGGTTTCTGCAACAGGGAGGGTAAAATAGTGTTTTTTGTAGTAAAATCGTAATACTTTAGTAAGAAATGAATGTATTTTCCAAATTTAATAAAAACATGTTCATAAACAAGAAAACTACAACAGTTGACTAATTCTCCATGAGAATAACATGGGAATTTTAAATTTACAATTTTTTAGAATCTTCTCCGAAACCATTAGGCGCATAATAACGCTTCAATATACTAAATTATTTGTTTTTTTAAGCTCTACAAAATGGTTAGGAAATAAATTGTGAAATTTAGTGTTTTTAGGACATTCTATCCGCAACCAATAACCATACAAAAACACTTCAATATACTAAATTATTTATTTTTGTAAGCTTTTCAAAATGATCCATAGAGAAATTGGGAAATTTTATGTTTTGAGGATGAAAAACGAGGAAAATATATTTTTACCCCATAAAACCCCCCATAAACCCCCGCTACCATAGTCCGATCATGCTAGTTCGCGAATAAATGTAGGTTTACACGTTTATACTATAAATATGAATTTGAACTGATGATGTTTTTGACTCTAGGGACCTCAAAATGAAAATAGTAAATCGGTCCCGGATCCAGGTCTTACCATGCGTACTACGGTAATAGCTTATTCCCTATATGGGAAATTTGCTAAAAGACGAAAAAGAGTTTTTCCCGACTCAAACTCATCAAGTTTGTACCAATCAGAGTATTTTAACCGTTTTTCAAACTTATCATATTTTTATAGTCATAATCATTTTCAATAACATGATTAATATTTGTTTTTAAATAGTAATACAACCCCAAAACCGGGATCACAGCTTTAAGATCTTTTGCCAACGAACTCTTCCAATGAATCTATAACCGAAAAGTTCACACCGAAGATAAAAATTACGACTGCTGTCGAGCTATCGTGTTGTGTTTCATATACTCAATCTAGGTTTTGACTCTACAGATTTAAAATTTGAGAACTACGCTGTCTTCAGACACTTATTGGGGTGAAGACTGTTTTGATAGGGACCTACAATTCACACAAACCTAGTGTGATATCAACCATCCCATCTAACCGTTAAAACAAAGTATTCATATTATTGTAAAGAAAATTGACAATTATATCCAGCAAGATTAAGTGAATATTTATTCATACGTGATTTCATTCTCGTCCATTTCACTACTGTTATCAACACGCTTAACTTATCCGAGAGTTCAAGAACAAA